GGGGACAGAACTCTGTGAGACAGAATTAAAGGCTTTCTTGAAGTGCAAGTCCAGAATTCAACACACAGTGAGTCACTTCCCAGCCACATTCAGCTACGCTGTCATCTTAGAGTTAGAACTCAGGCAATCATTTTGCCCAGAGTTGGATAAACCAGAGCAGTCAGAGAGGACGGGCCTCTATAGGTATGTGGCTGGCATGAGTGTAATGACCACCGCTGGCCCTGGCCCGTCTTCTCCTCTGCTCCTCTCTTTGTCCTGCACCTCTCCAGTCCACTGCTCAGGACTTGTTGGAATGCGTGTCTCTGCCCCGGGACCTTTGCATCAGCCTTGGAGCTTTCCCCTCCCCCACTCCCACCCAACTGGTGCCTCTAATCTTGTCCCTGTGGCAGTTAGGAGGACACTTGTGGGGATGAGCACTGAGTGTTATATGGAAACTAATTTGACAATAAACTATTTGTAAAAAAAATAATAATTGAGATAAAATTATTAAGGAGAAAAAAAAGAAGTTTTGAAACTTTTGAGGAAGGCAAACTCAGTCACTACTCAGGCTTAAAATCCTTTGGGGGCTCCTTTGTTCTTCTTATAAGTTTTATGTTTCTTATTATTGTCTTTTAACAGCTTTTGCCCACCCAAACGCCAGCATCAGCTTCATACCTTAGGTGAATTACAGCCATGCTGAATGCTTTTTAGTTATTTAAATGACACATAGTTATTTATACACCTGACAAATTTACATGTTATTTCCTGTGCCCACAATGTCTCTTCTTCCACTCACCAAACCTGAATCCCAACATCATCTGAACCCTTGAATAATCATTTAGATTTCAAGTTCACTTAAGGCCTCCTCCAGAATGCCCTTCCTAAATCCTTAATCAGCAAGCCTTCTTTTCCAGTTGTCCGGAATCCCTAATTCCGAGTAGAGTGCTTGGCACATAGTGAGTACTTCATGAATATTTGTAATGTGAACTAACTAATAAAAATATATAGATTAATGAATTGCTAACCTTCACAGCAACCTGTGTTTTCTTAGCGCCATTGAGAGAAAAAATTCAAGTCTAAAATGCCTAACGTATTTGTGAAAGGTAACGTATTTGGTAACAAAATTGTCATTTTTTGCCAAGACTCTTGTTTTGAAGCCTTTGTTTTCTCACCAGTACCTGACTGGCTTCCTCATTTTCACCTCTTCCCAATTTATCAATGCTTATACTGACAGAGAAAAAGGTAATATAGTATAATATTTAAGAGCACAGATTTTTGAGACAGACTACAAGATTTAAATCATTGCCTCAGACATTTACTAGCTATGATGAGTTTGAGCTATTTATTCAAACTTCCTTTGCCTTGGTTTCCCTATCCGTAAAGTGAAAATAACAACTGCCTCATAGTGATGTTGTAAAGATTAGATAAATTGTTATATCAAGAAACTGAGAACAATACCTGGCACATATGTGTGAACTGTCTATTCTGGGTAACTATTATTTAGCTTGATTTTTCTGATTCCTGGTACAGCATCATATCAGAAGAGAGAGGAGAGGGTTTTCTCTATTCATGGTCCAGGCCAGACGTTTTGTGGTTCAGATCATTAACTGTGTCTTCAAAATTGCCTGAGAGGGGCGCCTGGGTGTCTCAGTCAGTTACGCATCCGACTTCAACTCAGGTCATGATCTCACGGTTTGTAAGTAATAACCTTGCGTCGGGCTCTGTGCAGACAGCTCTAAGCCTGGAGCCTGCTTCAGATTCTGTGTCTCCCTCTCTCTGCCCCTCCCCTAGTTTCACTCTGTCTCCTTCTCTCTCAAAAATAAATAAACATTAAAAAAAAAAAAAACTTTAAATAACCTGTCTGAGATATCCCTTTCTGGAAACTGAAGTCTACAACATACACATCTGCACAGGACTGTTACCTGAGGACAGTAGGTAGCTGGATTACAGAGGACCCCACTTCATAACTGCTCCCCAGACCCAGCTGTCTGAGAAGGGGGTTCCTTGTCAAGCCAATCATATGCTCTGAATGCAGGAAAGTTATCCATTTAGCACTGAGTCTTATTCCACTTCTCTATTTTTGTGTTATATAAAATTTTCATTGGGGAAAGAATGTATGTCAAAGGTAAATGCATGAAGCACAGAACATTAGTGTTATTTGATTAATGGTAGGAGAGCTTTCTTATTTGCGTATCACAAGTAAGAGTAGAATTGTAGTTTATTGAATGTCTAAAAATATTTATCTCCAGGCCTCACTAACTTCTGTAAAAATTTTCCCAAAGCAACTAAGGAGCTTATAGAAAATTTTATGTGAAAGGATAAATGAGAAGTGCTCTTTGTTTCTAATTTGGGTAGAGTGCAAGTGTATGGGCCCTTCTAGATATTTGTATATCTTATAATGGCCGTATAAGTTGGTATGGCTTTTCTAGGAGGGAATTTAGTAGCTAAGCCTAACATCTTGAGTATGTTAAAATATTTTGCACTCAGGATTGCCAAAACTCAGATTTTTGATTAAAGGAAATAATTAGAAAGTTACATAAAACCTGTGGCCAGAGCACCTGGGTGGCTCAGTCAGTTGGGCACCAGACATTGGCTCAGGTCATGGTCCCATGGTCGATGGGTTCCAATCCCGCTTCGGGCTCTGTGCTGACAGCTCAGAGCCTGGAGCCTGCTTCGGATTCTGTCTCCCTCTCTCTCTCTGTCCCTCCCCTGCTCGTACTCTCTCTCTCTCAAAAATGAATAAACATTTTAATTTTTTTTAAAAAGTATGTGGGCAAAGATCAATTTTTTGCTATTTGTGTGTGTGTGTGTGTGTGTGTGTGTGTGTGCACATGCGCCTTCATGTTAACTTAATGCCTGTGTCACCTTAATAAAATGTAAACACTGAAACCAGGGACTTTTTCTGCTTTTTTTTTTTCCAACCATACAATGAGTGCTTAGCAGATTATCTGATATATATCAAGTATTCAACCATCATCCATTATATAAATCAAAGAGTCATTGTTGTGATGTTTGATAGAACAAATGAGGAAGTATCTAAGCAGCAAAAGCAAGAGATTGGCTAAATAAATATGGCCGAATGATGGGACAGATGAAATCCACCAAAAGGTCAACTTTTTTTCTATGTATATTGATTGATGTTTAAAAAATCTTAAGACATATTTTTACATGAAAAAGGTTACAAGCCATATAATTCTAATATTGCAAACAGTTTTTAAAAGAGAAATAAAATATTGAATGTTTAGATGGAACCACACATATTCTTACTCTCTCCTTTAAAATTGTCCTTACATTGTCCTTATTTCAAGTATTATGATAAACTGCATTGTTTTTAATGTTCAATCAGCGTTTGTTTGTTTGTTTGTTTAAGAGAGGGTTATAAAGACCATGTAGCTACTTGGAAAATGGTTAGGAAATCACTTAAGTCTAAACAAGAATACAGAAATGTGTGCTGGATTACCACTATAATAAGGATACATTAATGTGGGGCTTCTGGGTTTCTTTCTGTATCTTTTCTTTCTTCCTCTCTCCCATCCTTCCTTCCTCCCTTCCTTTCTTCCTTCTCCCCCCTCTCTCTCTTTAATTCTTTCTTCTTAATGCCGCCATTTTTTCTAAAAAATTCAATTAGAATCGCATTCAATCATATTCAATTAGAATTTCATTAGCCATTTTGGTAATTATTTTAAAAAATTGTAGTTCAGTATGTTCTCCTTTCCTTCACACACTAGTACGTCTTTTAGAAGTTGCCAGAACCTGGGGTGCCTGGGTGGTTCAGTCGGTTAAGTGTCCGACTTCGGCTCAGGTCATGATCTCACAGTTTGTGGGTTCGAGCCCTGCATCAGGCTCTGTGATGACGGCCAGCTCAGAGCCTGGAGCCTGCTTCAGATTCTATGTCTCCTTCTCTCTTGCCCCTCCCCTGCTTGCACTCTGTCTCTGTCTCTCAAAAATAAGTAAATGCAAAAATAAATAAATAAATAAATAAAAAGGAAGTTGCCAAAGCCTTCTTTACTAACAATCGAGTCAAGTAGCTCAGAGTGGTTCTTCCTCCATAAATCCCTAAATAGAACTAAAATCATACCCGGTGATGAGCAAACAACGACCTATATTTTTATTTAGCTCTTGCGACGCTGTGAATGTCAGTTTTAATCTAGGATTATTTTATAGTCAAGAACAATTATGTACTCTTTTGATGTAATCATATTTTTTTTGTTTCTCTGCCATCAGACACTTTTGATACATTTCATTTATGTTGTAAATGTTCCAGCATTTTTTACTGAGTCTTTAACTAGAAGAAAATAACTGACATAAAATGCAGGGAACTTAGTTCTCCTTGGTTACACAAACAAGGTCAACCTTAACAAGGATTTAATTTTCATCTGTAGTATTTCCAAGCTTACAGAACCCAGAGTAGAAACTGAATGCAGATTGTTATTTAGGTTTTATAAAATATTCCCGTTCTGATTCTTAAAAATGGCTCTAGAAACCATTTGAAATTTTACAAAATTCACATGACTTCTTATTCCAATACTCTTGTGTATAAGACAGGACTTTGTTTTATGTAATAAAGTGTATATTCTTTGCATACTCATAAAGATAACCTAACTCTGAGATTAAAAAAATTATCTTTCTTTGCACATGTCTTTATATTTTCTGCATTTTCTCAATCATATTGTATCCAAGACTTTTTCTTTTGTATTTTACTTAGAAAAAATATGATAATAATTGAGGCTGAAATTAGGACTGTTTTCAATTGAACTTTCTACTTCTCCCTCAATTAACTCTTCCCAAGTTCCTTCTTTCCTGTCCCCAGATCAAGGGGCTGCAGTATCTTCTTTGTAATTACCCCAGCAGATATGAGGGTGTTTATATACTTCTCTGCACTCTGTCTTTTATATATATTTTTCATTTTCTTTGTCTTTATATTTTATGTCATTGCATCAGTTGTTTTCACAAGCTACTTATGCGCTCAGAACTACTGCTAAGGAAGAGCCAGAAAAATGTTCACTACTTATTGATCCTACCTTGAGAATCTTGCACATAATCTCATAAACTGAAAATGTTTTCTCTGCTCGGGTCCAGTCCCACGTTGTCACCTTTAAAGATGAGAAACTAACATGTCATTTGTTGTAGAGAGATAACCTCTATTTCCCCTCTTTATTATACTTCTATAATATGGTACACAATGACACATTCCCATGTGCATTACATAGTCTCTGTTGTGAAGCTATTCTCATAGAAGTACAGGTGTGGCATTTTGGTTTCCTGTCTCCTAAGCTTTATTGCCATTTCTCTTTTTTTCTTTCAGCAAATGTTTTATGCTATATGTAACCATGTCCATTTGCCCAAAGTATCTACTTATTTATATAATGTATCTACATATAAATACCAAGTATTTATATTTCACATACAGTAATTTACCTCCCAGTTTACCAACCAGTTATATACAAAGAAGAATGCTAAATATAAACACTGGCTTTAATTTTTTATAAAGGCATCATTTATATCAGGAAGTTATTTAAGATGTGAACGTCTTATAACATTGTAAAGACAACAAACAGTACAATGAAGTTACTTCACTTTCTTACATTTGAAACATGTACTTGTCTGTCTAGTCATAAGAAATTATTCAGAGTAGGGATATAGTAAAATATATCAATATTAATGGCTTTTTTCTTGCCTTCTAGGTGCTTTGAACCTTGTGTAGACATAGTCATACAAAATAGCAGCAGGTCAGACTTGATATTTCCAACACCCTATGTAATATTATACCTGTAAGTGAGTGGTCTGGCAATTGATATTTATGCTCAATAAATATTTATTAAAAATCTACTTTTGTATAAGGTACATGTTTCCAGAAGAAAGACCTTAGGTGAAATAGGTACCCATACATATTTAATACAAAGCCCAATGACTAGAATACAGGATATCAAAATGCTGTTTTTTTATTTAGGCAAACCTGTGTCACATAGATAATAAACATATTTTGACTCTCATAAATGTCTAAATAGAAATGCCTTCTAGATTTTTCTGGGATTATAAAGTAAATATTTAATGCCAGAACATATATCTTTAGTAAGATATTTTCAGAAACTTTGAACTGTTTTCTATTTTTTTTTCTGTATCTTATTTGCAAAATACAGGAAAACTTTGGTTTGTGTACCTAATTTGTTCCAGAAACATGGTTGTAATCCAAAGCACTTGCATATGAAAGCAAATTTCAAGAACCATTGGCTCAGTCGTGATCATGTGACATTCGGTGTCATGTACTACGCATATTACAAGTTACTCGTCATCCAAGGTTTTATTCTGTATTGGTAATATGCTATTTACCATTATTAAATTGATGTCACTCTGTCATAATATGGGAAACATAAAAAATGTTGGACAGAAACACTTACTGGAGGGGCCAGAAACTTGTAAAGACATGATCCCCTCAGGGCTAGAAACGTTGGAGAGTACGCACGATCTTGCAGAGGATCCTGCTCCCGTGCTTCACACCAGCCCATGTAGACTATCTGCAAGAAAATTGAGTATGATTAACTGTCAAAAGAAGTCTCATTACAGATGTGTATTTTTTGTATCTTGTGTATTTTAATTCTCCCGTAAAATTATCAAATTAATTGATGCGAAAAATACATTAGCCACATATGCTTTCCAATAAGTGAAAGCGAACCACTCTTAAGAGGTTACATTTCCGCCAGCACTTATCAAGTGTTTGCTTATGCAGTCCAACTTGACATAAATTATATCTCCCACTCTCCACCACTGCTACTATAAAAATGTTTCTTCATAATTAAATGTGTTGACTTATCCTATCAGTTTCTCAATTAGTGGCATTTTACAGTGAAGATGCGCTCCCAGGATAAAATATTTAAATGGGTAAAGGAGATAAGTCAAAAAGAGGTACCCTATGTGATTACCACTGGTGTGGCATACTACACCTCCCTTCTACCTGACAGGATGGGATGATAACATTTCTTGTTTTAGTAACCAATCTAAGATGAACATAGATTATTCAAACATTATTCATATATCAAATGGCAATGATAAGAGCTCCTTTGTCTCTAGATCTGAAATATTGGTGGATCAATTTCCAAAAAGAAATAATGTGAGATAAACCACTCCTCCTTCATGCACTTGATTGTTCTGAAGCTCAAACATGGACAGAAGCATATATTCAATGAATTTTATATTCCTGACAATGGATTCATATGTCATTTCATTTATCTCTTACCACAACTTTATGTGGTAGAAAATCTGGGAGGATATGTTTCCCAGCTCATATAATTTACTTTGGTTTTATGGTCTTTCCTACTCTTACGCTTTTTTTTTTTTTTTTTGCTATGAGATCTGTTATGATTAATGTGATATTAATGCACATGATAAAAGGAAGTTGGACTTAGTATCTGTACTTCTGCCATTACCCAAGTATACCCAAGATGGAAACCTATGGAGCTGGCCAGAGTGAAACCAAGCCTAGCCAAGTCCAGCTTAGAAGCTAATTCCAAACAATTAGCTCACTTACAAAGAAATGAAACACAGAGAAATAGACTTCCTATGTTCATGTATAGAATAATTATGTTTTAAAAAATATTCCTAATATCCAAATTGACCTACAGATGCAGTACCATCCTTATCAAAGTTCCAATGCCATTCCTATGGAAGTAGGAAAAATTTCTTAAAATTCATAGGGTACCACAAAAGACTAATAGCCAAAACAATATTGAGCAAGAGGAACAAAGCTAGAGACCTTATTCTTCATGATTTCAAAAAATCTTACAAAACAAAGTAACTAAAACAATAAGATACTGGTGTTAAAACAGATATATAAACTAATGGAACAGGAAAGAGAGCCCAGAAATACATTTATGCATTTAGGGTCAGCCGATCTCCAACAAAGATGCAAGCATACACAATGGAGGATGTATAATGGCTTGGGAAAACTGGATAATCACATATAGAAGAATCAAATTAGATCCTTATCTCACACCATATACAAAAATGAATTAAACTCAACTCAACTAAAAATGAATTAAAGGCTTAAATGTAGGCCCTAAAGCTATCAAACTATAATACAATTTTAAAACATTATGCCTTTTCTGTGTATATCTTCCAAACTGCCTACAGTTAAGAAGACAGGAAGTGACACATTGTCATGAGGACATGTAGTAATGTGAAAGCTTGTGTGAATCTGGTAAGAGTCTGATTCTTTACTTCTAATATCAACTCAACACAAGTGTGTACACTTGTGCACTGAGGCGCATGTGTAAGAATATTTATGCAGTGTTATTCTTCTTAGTTCCAACTATGTATCAATAGTTTGAAATATTAATAAACTGTATACCCTCAAAATATTTTATAGATGAAAATAACAATAATATATGGTATAATAAAGTAATAGGAAACAGCAGGAAAATTAGTAAATTATAGTTATATGGAACAACATAAATGAATCTCACAGAACATAATGCCAATTGCAAGAAGTTGATATGGAATAATACATATGCACAAATTATTTGTTTCAAATAAACTAGCCTTTTGAATTGTATTTTTCATTGGGAAAAAAAAAAATACTAGAGTGAAGCAAGAAAATTATCACCAAAATTGTCAGGATAATGGTTACCACAAGCCAGTTGTGACTGGGAGAGTGCAATGTGGGGAGAAAATGTGAATTGCTAACAATCTACTTCTCTTGACCTAGAATGTAGTTATGCGGGGGTTGGCTTTTGAGTCATCAAAAGTCCACATCTATGCTTCATGAACTTTCTTTACATGCATTATGTTTTATAAAAACTCATTTAAAATAGCACTCAATGTGTATTATTGGTAATGGTTCTATATCAATTTTAAAATGACAGAGTTTTTGAGTTTTATCAAAAGAAAGTATTCTTTTTTAAAAAAAAATGTTTTATTTATTTCTGAGAGATAGAGAAAGAGAGGCAGCATGAGCAGGGAAGAGTCAGAGAGAGGGATACACAGAATCCAAAGCAGGCTCCAGGCTCCGAGCTAGCTGTCAGCACAGAGGGTGATGCAGGGCTTGAACCCACGAACTGTGAGATCATGACCTGAGCCGAGGTCAGACGCTCAACCCACTGAACCACCCGGGCATCCCATATCAGATGAAAGAATTCTGACAAACATGGTTAAATTGCACTGTCATTATTGGGCCACTGCAATGGGATGAGATTTTTGTTATTATGGATTATATCAACTTTAATCACTACATCACTTCATGATGGGTCAGAATCTTTCATTTAAACTCATTCTTATAAAACTTATCTCTATGCTTATGACTTTGTCTCTATTAGCAAGAGGAAAAAATCAAGTGGTATACATAACCACAAAAAGGAAATATTTAAGCTTCTTAAGGCTGTGAAATTTGAGTTTGTTTCCTCTTCCCACCTCTATAAATTGCTGGAAGCTGAAGTATTAAGAATGAAATACTGATATTTTCAAGAAATATTAATGAATATAATTTATTATTTTGAATGGAGAGTAGTTTTGAGGATGAGCTGAGGATATAGCTAATAAAAATGGGATTATCACATCTGTAAGGGGAATTTCTTCATGCTTGCTCTCCAGGCTAAGGACTGCCCTCATCATCTTCTGTTCCAAAACAAGGAAACAAAGTTCTTAATTGTACAGAGATTTCTGAGGCACTTTTTGATTTTCATCATTACCAGGACTCTTGTGAAATAATTGTAAGATTGAGGAGACCTAGTCATTTTTAGTAAATTCTTCCCACATATGTCATAGCAAATGATAATTCTAAAGAAAGACTGCATCACTTAATCTTTAAAAAAATTTACAAATCCAAATGGGCAATATAAGCAGGAGTATTTCAAAGGGGATGTTTTTGAAGCAAGAATAATTAAAAGGAATGGTTTTCCTTGCATATGAAATGACAAATGGACTTCTGCATGTATAATTTTAAGATAAATATTTTAGAAGCTTGCCTATTTTTCAGCTTTATTGAGGTATAAATTGACCAATAAAATCATAAGATATTTAAAGTTGCACATTGTGATGATTTGACGAACACATTTATTGTGAAAGGATTTCTCCCCTCTCCTTCACACATCCACCAGCTCATCTATGTTTGTATTTTATTTATAGAGAAAAGAACATTTGAGTTCTACTCTCAGCAAATTTCAGTTACACAATACAATGTTAACTACAGTCACCATGTTATATATTCGATCTTCAGACCCTGCTCATCTCATAGGTGAACATTTGTACCTTTACACAAACCTCTCCCTAGTTCCTCCAGGCCCTGGTAATCACTTTTTGACTCTCTATTTCTATGAGTTTGACTTTTTTAAAAATTCCACATATAAGTGACACTATGAACTATTCATCTTTCTCTGCCTGGCTTATTTCACTTAACATGATGCCCTCAAAGTCCATCCATGTTGTAAGAAATAGGATTGTCTTCTTTCTCAAGGATGAATATATGTCTCACATCTCCTTTATCCATTCATCTGTTAATGGACACTCAGTTTGTTTCCATATCTTGGCTATCGTGAATAATGCTACAATGAACATGAAAGTGCAGATATCTCTTTAAGGCCCTATTTTCATCTCCTTTGGGTATTTTCCAAAAGTGGGCTTGGTAGATCATATGGTAGTTCTATTTTTAATTTTTTTGAGGAGCCTCCATACTGTTTTTCACAGTGTCTGCACCAATTTACATTCCCACCCAAAGTAGACAAGGGTACCCCTTTCTCCACATCCTCACTAACTCGTGTTATCTCTTGTCTTTTTGATGATAGCCATTCTAACAGGTGAAATGTTTAATGACATATACCTACCATTATACTATCATACAGAATCAGTTCCCTGTCTTAAAACTCCTCTGTGCTCCTCTGCTGATTCATACCTCCCTCTACAATCCCTAGAAATTACTGATTTTTTACTGTCTACATTATTTTATGTTTTCTGGAATGTCATATCTCTAGGATCATATAGTATGTAGCCTTTTTAGATTGATTTCCTTCACTTTTTAACATACATTTATGGTTTCTCCATGTCCTTTCATGGATTGAAAGCTCATTTACTTTCAGTGTTGAGTAATATTCCATTCTTTGGATACACTGCAATTTATGTACCCATTTATCTACAAAGCTATCATGGTTGCTTCCAAGTTTTGGCAGTATGATCAGTGGTGCTATAAACATCAACATGCAAGTTTTTGTGTAGACATAAGTTTTCAGCCCATTCAGGTGTACACCAAGGAGGGTGATAGCTGAAATGTATGATAAAAGTATACTTAGTTGTGTAAGAAACTGCAAAACTATCTTCCAAAGTGGGATACCATGTTTTATTCTCACCGGTAATGCATTAAGTTCTTGTTTTTCCTATCCTTGCCAGCATTTGGCACTGCCAGTGTAGCAGGTTTGGCCATTGTAGTAGGTGTGTAGTTCTTTTTTAAAATTTTATTTATTTTATATATATTGTTGTTCTTTTTTTTTTTCATTCTGCTGCTGACATATGTGTTATATCTTTTCATATGTTT